TCCAAACCACCATGGATCAGAGAGCTATCCAGACAGATTGAGTGCTCCACCGAGAGCTATCCTGGGATATAAGACTTGAAGGGGTTCATAAATGTTTTTTTATGTTTTCAGAGTTTTTAAGTATTTGGCTGCCTGTATCCGGGAGATAACTTACTGAGCTTTAACTTAATTATCTCTCAGACAAAGAGAAGCCTGGGTGGGATCTGTGTGTAAAGAATGGAGACAACACCCTGGGTCTGGGTATAAAAGGCTGCATTCTGAGGAATAATACCAGATTACTCCCAGAACTATGTCTCGTCTGCTTACTGGGGGAATAGAGCTACATTAACTAATAGTTCAAGTTCTGGCTGAAAAGTGAGTTTAGCGGAGGTAACAGTCAGGTTACTGGTGGTCCGTTTCATCCTTTCTGTATTACTTGTCTTGCTCATTAGTTCGGTTTTATTATCACCCACAAGGAATGAATGTGAATCTGAAACCAGTTTTTATTGTTAAAGAAGAAGTGCATAAATATTATTTCTCAATAATTAAATTTTTTAGAAACGGCAAAATATCAGCTCAATAACTAACCGCTAATTATATATAAAGAGAGAAACACAGAGACATACATAGCGACAGACAGCCATAGAATGTGACGGCAGATAAGAACCATTCAGGCCATCTAGTCTGCCCAATTTTCTAAATACTTTCATTAGTCATCTTATAGTTAGGATAGACTTATGCCTATCCCACGCATGCTTAAACTCCTTTACTGTGTTAACCTCTACCACTTCAGCTGGAAGGCTATTCCATGCATTCTCTACCCTCTCAGTAAAGTAATACTTCCTGATATTATTTTTAAACCTTTGTCCCTCTAATTTAAGACTATGTCCTCTTGTTGTGGTAGTTTTTCTTCTTTTAAATATAGTCTCCTCCTTTACTGTGTTGATTCCCTTTATATATTTAAATGTTTCTATCATATCCCCCCTGTCTCGTCTTTCCTCCAAGCTATACATGTTAAGATCCTTTAACCTTTCCTGGTAAGTTTTATCCCACAATCCATGAACCAGTTTAGTAGCCCTTCTCTGAATTCTCTCTAAAGTATCAATATCCTTCTGAAGATACGGTCTCCAGTACTGCGTACTCCAAGTGAGGTCTCACCAGTGTTCTGTACAATGGCATGAGCACTTCCCTCTTTCTACTGCTAATACCTCTCCCTATACAACCAAGCATTCTGCTAGCATTTCAAGCTGCTCTATTACTTTGTCTTCCTACCTTTAAGTAATTGCCATTGAAAATTAATATATAGATATATTGATAGTGGATTTTATTCACTGGGATTAAGTGATTTGCCTTCCACTAGGTATTATTATAATTGTGCCCAAATCAGTCTCAACTTTGTTGAACAAATTAAATTCCCGTCAGTTTACACCAACTTATTATCTGTCCTGGAATTGCATTTGATCCTTCTAGTAAATCCCAGACAGATGGATTAGTTTGGGCGCAGATTAACAGGAATTTGGCTTGTCCAACATGGCTACAATATATTTGGGCACAAGTCTATAAATTACCCCTTGGATTACTCTAAGCAGTCTTTGTTAAAGCCAGCAGCTGTAAAGCAGGCGATGCAGTTATTAGTACAGCGATATAGAGGCATTTCATCATCAATTGATCTCAGGCGCCCTATAGGACAGCAGTCTGAAATGTGTGGCTCGCTATATACCCGCTTGTAAACAAAAGCCTTCTTATTGATGCCGTTAAACTGGCTTAGCCTGTCTACAATGTTATATGGCCCTTCGGGCTTAGTGCAATATGCTCGGCATGGTGAGTTATGAGTGAAAAATATGGCACATCCAGCAGGGGGCTCTTTGTTCAGTAGATTTTTTACCGGACCAGAGAGAAGCCGACTTTCTGCATGAACTCTTATAAT